CAATCAATATAGAATTTATTTCATCTACAAAGTACTCATTCTTTGTTGTAAGTATACCTCTCTGCATCAAAGCATATGGATCTGTATGAAATGTAGCTAATGATGGGTATACATATGCAATGAGATTGTCTAATGGTGTTCCAGGAGGTGTACATGGCAGTAAGAAAGAATGAGGAATTTTAATTTTTGTTCCATCAAGCGTTGGTTCTGTTCCATTTCCAATGCACATTAGATATCCAGAATATGATGGATCTTCTATAGCTCGCATGTTCTGAGACAATTTGAGTTGATTCATATGAGGCCAAATAATAGATGACCTCACAAGGCTGGCGTCTATAAAATCTTCTTTGGTACCATATCGTATGACAGGTAATGTTTGTCTAACCCCCCCCCCCCCCCAAAAAAAAAAAACGATCACGTTACCTCCAAATAATTGTTCAGGATTCATGAGGTCTTGTAGAGTTTTATGCAGTGTTTCCACACATGTGCGATTGGCCATTGATGGCTCATCCCACAGGATTAATCTGCATTCTTTCAAAAGTATTCCCTCTACACTTTGCTTAGTAATGTTGCAGACAAGTTTATTCTCTCCATCTATTGGTATTTTAAACCTTGAGTGTGTTGACCGCAATTCCGGAGCTAGCTGTAGCAAGCGCAATACCGCCACCAGAACGCACTTTAGTTAGTAAGCATCGATAGAGAGAAGTTTTTCCGCTACCACCAGGTCTGTCTACAAAGAAGACTCTTCCAGTGATAGTGTTAACAACATCCATTATGAGTGAGCATGCTATTTTTCGATCCGTGTTTAGTTTTTCAACACACAAAAGGTCATATTCACTAACATGTATCCTCCTTTCAGCCTCAACTTCTCTCAGTTTTTGTGCAACTCATTTTCACACAAGAAAGTGTAGTCACTTACCAGATCAAAGCTAGTTAAACTCCTTCCGTTTTGTTGTAATATTTGGTGCAACATGGTAAGAACTTTCTGGTCAACTTCTTCGGTTGTGTACAACCTAGTTCTTATGAAATCCTCTGAAAAGAAATATTTGTATTTAGTCCAAATAAATCTTGGGTTGGGAAGATCACAAAACAATAACATTGTGGCAAATAGATTTCTCAAACTACAAGGCATTTGGTACAAAACAACCTCTTGTATGCAGCACTCTATTGAGTCATTCGTCTTCAACAACCCCGGTTTTTCAGCCGCCTCCCTGAAGGTTGATGCTACATAATGGTTGACGGTTCTCAAATGTTGGTATGATCTTGGAGCTCACACATTCATAAGTAGCAACCTCAGATAGTATCGTTCTCCTTCTGTTGGATTTACCGAGACCATTCTACCAATCACTTTTTGTTGTTTTCTTAAATGTCATGTTCTACTTTCGGTGGACCAAACAAAGTGTTCTGGAAACTCAATATACAACAACTTTAGTTTTTAGCATCGTCATCTAATGAGTTCATCTTAAAAAACTCAGTTAACATTGTTTGACAACGGTAACCAGAACGTCGATCATCATCTACAATTGTATCCAACTTGTCTTTACTACAAAATTGAATGTATTGGAAATTGTGTAAATGGACTTGTAAATGAATAACAGCTGGCTTTAATTCAGCTAGGTTGAAAGAGTATATCCTCCATGCTGCTTCAGGTGGAGATATCCATCTAACTGTTTGATATTCATTGATTTCATCATATTCATCAATTATGTTTGAATCAGACAGGTGGAATCTTACCTGGTCATGCCCTTTGTATATGTATTTAAAAATGTATTTTACATATCTTATACCAACACAAATTCCAACATTTATATGACAATCAAACTTCTCTAACAAAAATGAGTTATATGGTACAACCCATCGATTATCTAAAGTATGCTTTCTGACCACAACTTTGTTATTGTCACATCTCCTACGATAGATGGGGTACGCATCCTCAGGCAAAACAATAACGTTGCTGAACGGCTGAGGGTAACGATCCTTACATGAAGGAGCTTTGTCATTTTCCTTTTGCCGCATGCATACGTTTTCAGGATTCAAAAGGCCACAAGGCCCATGCATCATATGTTTAACAACTAACTCAAACAATTTTGGATTAGTTTGTTGGTTTGGAATTTCAGCACATACAAAGCGGTCGCATTGTGCAGCTGTGTTTATCTTGTGGTTTCTTTGTAAAATGATCAGAAAATGAGCATGGGGCAATCCCCTCTTTTGGAATTCTATGACATAAGTGTAAGCTGCAACTTCCCCAAACAATTTTTTCTTAAAAAGATCCTTCTTCAGTTCTTCAATTTTAGCACGAAATATTCGTGCAACCAGATCAGGTCTGTTTTGTGATAGATCAACGTATTGGAATAGCTCTTTAATTTCAGGCCAATTAGGGTTACAAGTGATTGTCAAAAAGATATCGGGTTTACCAAAACGTTGAACAAGGGTCATAACATCCATATATCTTTTTCGCATATCCCGTGGTCCGCCTATAAATGTAGCTGGCAAAACAATGTGTTTGCCTACTTCTACACCATCTCGAACTCCAACATTAAAACTATCTACAAGCCCTTGATATGTTTCCAGTCTAGCTTCTCGTTGTTGGTGCCTAAAATAATCTAATCTTTGTGTCTCAATCTTTATATATATATCCACTATAAATTGTTGTAGTAGCCTACCAGTGTGTAGTAAGAAAGATTGATCAGATTGTCTTATTTGAAACTTGAAAGCATAGTATTCTCGGACTGAGACGATGGATGGACTTTTTCTGTGGCTTGACACAAATTCCTGAGCACTAAACATACCATTTACAGAGGTAAAAGATGTTGGATTTATTAAAGAAGAATTCGTCAACGGTTTTGTGGACAGACCATCATATGGTGATATTTTAGGAATTCCTTCATGCCATCCAGTTTCACCATGGAGAAATAACAATGGGTACTGTAGTGGATCATAACACCCGTAGTAATACTTCACGTTGTGTGAAGATCCAGTTCGCCCATACACTTTAATGCTTCTATTTGCTTCAATACCATCGGTATTATTTTCTATCCATATTGCCCCTACTTGGGATACAGTTGGCAAGTTAAAAACTCTTTGATCGAGGGAAGCATTGTTGTGTAACAGAATACAAAAATCATCATCAACTTGTATGTCTTTTAAGCTCTTAAAACTGGGCATATGGGTTACGAGACATCACTTCAACAATTGAGGTTACTACATCTTTTACCAGACGATCTGTAGCTTTTAATCTTTGTTCTATTTCTTGATCGGTGTCAAAGAAATAAAGTTGTAGATTTTTTGGCGGTTGACCAGTGGGGAGTAAATCATTTATATGGTGGTAGACTTGTCCTTGAATTTTAAACGTGTAAACCCCTTTATTGTTTTTGTTAACCTCTTATCCACATTGTACACCCCCATTGATGTAAAAGCAAATGTGTCATTGTAGGTTCTGACACATGTCTGGAATGATTTTACATTGGCATCGGTGGAAGTAAAGAGATGTCTTAATTTTAGTGGCATAAGACCTGATACGAGGCTAACTTGACCGTTGGAACAACAAAACCCAGGACTCTCATACTGTATTCGTTTAGCTCCACAAAATTGGCAATCAGGAACAGGGGTCAACTTGAAACCAGGACATCTACTATTTGATTCACCTAATACAGATTTATTTGTAGCTATTATTTTTCATTTTTTTTGTTTTTAGGTTATTCTTGAACAATTGAGGATATCTTATTATATATGTAAGGGAGAAGACTCTAACCTTGAACAATAGGCGGTTCAAGGTGTATAAAACGCAGTTTTCTTTAAAAAAATCATTCGACGACCTTCCTGATTGAATTTTTTGCTCAAATTTGGTATGGATCAATTAGACTTGATGAGGAACATACACAAAAAATTTCAGCCAAAAATACCACCGGTTCCTTGGGGTTCTCACGGGTTCTCATTTTAAGAGAGTTCTCACTGGAGACTCTAGGATCAACCCATGATTAAATTTCTATTTAGTTTTTATTTTTAAAGACTTTTATTATTAATTTTTGTATTGTTTTCAGTATAAAAAAATCGATACATATATTCATAATTTTAAAATAATTGTCAAAAGTTGGAAACTTTTAATAAATTAAGAAAAGTACAGTATGAGTATCCTAGATTATCTTATACATGAACGATTCCGATATGATACCCTAGTCAAGTATATGTGCTACATAGGTAATAATCATCTAGTCATATTATTGGATATTTAGATTTTAAGACATTTTTCCTTTTAAAATATTAGTAGTAATGTTCATTAAAATCCGAGAAATTAATAAAGAAACCGAGGCAAGTAATTTGAAACCAATGCAATATCATTTAAAATTAAAACTATTTTTGAGACTACTTGACTAAGGTTTGAAAATGAAACATTGAAAATAGAAAATGAGATTATATTATTATGCAAGTTGAATTGTTTAATATGCAAATTAAATAAGATTGGAATTACTTTTATCGTAGAATTGATTGAAACTACTATAAAGAATCATTTTAACTATTTTCATATAATCTATTTCTTTATTATATTAATAATATTTATTGTAAATATAATTTTATTCATAATTCATCTACTTTGCCAATTTAGTCACTTCAAACATAATTTCATAAATTTCATCAGATTTGGCCGATTCAGCTAATTTTGGTGTTTTACCAAACGAGCTTAAATCAGATAGTTGGAGTATATTTTGAGAAACAACTTTGATGATTATATAATACAATGAGTTTATTAATGATAATTGTGAAATTATTAATATATTATTATTAATATTGATGATTATTTTTTCATATAAATCTTAATTTTTCATAAGTAAAAATGAGATATGCAAGCTCTAAGTGTCAGAAGCGGGAAAGGCTTGCTGAACAGTGTCTTATCAAAATTTGAATTTGAAGTTGGAACTTTGAACGGTACCCTATTTTTGTCTGTATATGATTAAATTTTAAACAGGTAATATGAGCAAATTCAAACAGACACCCCGAACACAAAACACGGAAGCTCTTTCCATACTTAGCTCACACTACCAAACAAACCTACTGCTATTACCCCAGCATTTACATAGAAATTTATGTCGTATACGCATTACCATTTACAATAAGTATCAAGAATCCCATTCCCATACCAAGGAAAAGAAGAAGCTGTTGAGGTTATTTCTCCCCAAGGCATCAAGAATTCGAACGGCCAGTGTAGCAGAAAAGGAAGCCCTAGTACGAAGAATAGGGAGGGTAGTGAAGGCCAGCCGCTCATTTTCTTTGCAAAAGGTATCTTTTTTTCTTTCTTTGGGGTCAACTTAAGGGTTTTACCAAATCTTGACACTCCGAAATCCCAGTTCTAGACTACTGATTATTTTCTTGGATGCATTTATTTAGTACTCCGTAAAAGATAGAACCAAGTTTTCTGTATTTCTCATCTCTGGTTTAAGGTAGTAATGTCTGCTAATCTTTATTGTACTTTACTACTTTAGTTCTCGTATCCACAGTTCTTTATTATATAATTCTAGGGGCCTTGAAATAATTGCTGCAATGATAATAAAGACGGTTCATTTCTGATTTTAAGACTATTTTGTTGAAAGATGGCTCTTTGGGTTCTCTTTTTTTACTAGGGTTTAACTGTATTGAATCTGTGTACAGGTAATAGGTAAGCAAGAAAATGAGGAGGAGTATAAGCCCAATAGTGAGGAGGGAGTTGCAGAATCTCGAAAAAGATGCTGACAGCAGGAAGTCAGCTATGAAAATGAGGAGTATAAGCCCAATAGTGAGGAGGGAGTTGGAGAATCTTGAAAAAGATGCTGACAGCAGGAAGTCAGCTATGAAAACGCTAAAGTCATACGTGAAAGAACTTGATTCAAAAGCCATCCCACTCTTCCTAGCTCAGGTTTCTGAGACCAACAAGGAGGGTGGCAGAAAATGTGCATCCTCCGCGGGCGAGCATGCCATCTCACTCTATGAAGTCCTAGCCCGTTTCCACGGCCCAAAAATTGTCCCTCAAATCGGAAACATCATGTCGACCATCATCAAGAGCTTGGCTTCAAGCGCTGGCTCATTCCCCCTCCACCAAGCATGCTCGAAAGTGGTCCCTGCAATTGCGAGGTACGCGATGGACCCAACAACGCCCGATGAGAAGAAACGTTACATTATCAACTCACTGGCGAAGCCACTTTCCGATTGCCTTTTGGGAAGTCACGAGTATCTCTCCTCTGGGGCTGCCCTATGCCTCAAGGCTCTTGTGGAGTCTGATAATTGGAGGTTCGCCTCAAGTGAGATAGTGAATGAGGTGTGTCAATGTGTGGCTGGAGCATTGGATAAGCATGGGCAGACCAATTCACATATGGCTTTGGTGACATCTTTGGCTAAGCACAACAGTTTGACGGTTGAGGCTTATGCGAGGATTTTGATTCGATCCGGACTGAACATATTGAAGTTCATGAATGGGGAAGGGAACTCTCAGAGACGTTTGTCGGCTGTTCATATGATCAACTCTTTGATGAGGCATCTTGATCCAAGAAGCATATTGTCTGAGGTTAGAATGGTAATTGAGGAGATGGAAATGTGCCAATCTGAAGACAAGATGCTGTATGTGAGAGGGGCTGCATTTGAGGCACTTCAAACGGCTAAAAGAATAATACACATCGAAAAAGGCTCATCAAGGACTGAGAATGATGTTGATTCAGTTACTGGCTCCAATTTTGATATCCAAGGGTATACAAAGAGGAAGATCATGTTTGGTTCGGGTAGCAATTCACCTGATTCTCCCGAATCACAGACTATTGATTCCTTTCTCGGGTTTAATTCCTCCGGGGATTTGAGCGATGGTCGGAGGAGCGTGAATAGGAAACTGTGGAGAAGGCGTGAAGATGGAGGGGTGGATGTGTCTCTTAAAGATGGGATCTTTTCTGAAGCTACTACAGGTTATAGTGATATACATAACTCTGAGAGTGACATGTTTTCTATCAACGGTGGAGATTATAGGGATGGGTTTGAAGGCTTTTTCCCCGGAATTGGACGACATAGATCTGTGAGGAGTGCTACTCCAAGCCCTCAGGTATATCCGCCAACCCATGTTAAGAGTTCTCCATTCACAGTTCTGGACTTATCTCATGGAACTTGATAGGGAAAAATGGAAAAATCAAAATATAATAATAATATTGAGAAATGTGAGAATCCATTTTAGAAGTTCACAATCTCCTGCATGTGCTGGAAACAATGGTTAACAATGTGTACTCACTTAGCGTGTTAATCATCACATGGTGCTAAATATTCATCAATAAAATGTAACTTGTTCATATACATCCATGCTAATAAGTGTACTACTAATTAATTATTTGATGGATTATCATTTATCACCATGGTCTAGAAGCCAATAATCAGTTTATCACATTTTTAATCCATCCTTACTGATGTATCTTAGTTCAAACTTCACAACACATTGTCACCAATTTAAATAATGTAATGGACTAATACAATTTTTCTCTCAAATAATGGAGGACCAAGTGTAGGTGCATTATTCTTTTGAAGTATACTGTATACATGAATATTATATCCCTGTTTGATTGCCATGATGAATTGATGAGGAATATTATACTTGAAAAAGAAGGTGTTCTATGTATAATATGTAAATGTAGTCCATGAAGACGAGTTCCTCTTTTCAGATGTGCAAGTCATTTCCCAATAAAGCAAAGGATCATCAAAGAAAATATTACTATCCAGTAAAAATCAAATTTCTGGATATTAACAGGGGAAAGTTCCAAACAAAAAAAATTGAGCAAAGTATTCTTTACCCTATTTTTAATTTAGTTTAAGTACTGATATTCTTTTTTGTAATGTTTCAGAGGTCACGATCTTATATAACTCCACACAATGTAGCCATCTTCACAACTCCAAGAAAGCTCATACAGTCACTTCAAGATGCACAATACAGTAGCAGTCAGGTTTCACCCGAAAAGCAAAGCAGGAGGCATAAGAGCCTTTCCGCATGCGAGTTCGAGTGGAGTCCAGCCGAGTACATAGAAAGCTGCCAACTTGATGTCATCAAGGCTGAAAACAATAATGAGGATGAGAGGTTAATATCTCTTTTCAACAAAGATCAACAAAACTCAGAATCAGTATCTTCTTCGGCAGAAGATGTCTCTCCTAAACCAGAATATGAAAGCTTCACAAAAGTTGATGATGGCCAAGAAGGGAAAGAAAAACCAAAAGTGGACTTTTTTGTCCCAAAACCCCACCAGCATTTTGTGAGGGCAATGATTTGCAGCCTATTGATTGTTGTAATGGCTGTTTTTATGTTGTTGTGGAACAACGGACAAGACCAAGGATACAATCTTGTTCCTACCTAAGTTATGCATTAGGCATCTTCAAGATGCTTAGGATTTGATTGGTATGAGGTAGCAGTAGTTGTTATTGTACCTAAGTGGTGCACTGATCTTTATTTTTGTTATTTTGAGCAATTATTTCTACTTGGGTAGAATTGAATATGTACCTGACAATTTTAATGATATTTGAAGAATGTATGATTATCTCGATCTATTTACTCTTCAGATTCATATCATCATTCCGGGTTGAAAGTGTTTTTCCTCCCTCCAAGGTGGCTCCCCCCCCCCCAAGCATGAATACAAAGGGGGTACCCTATAAAAACAAGCTGCAGAATGTTTTGAGCTTCTCAAGAACGTTTAGGGGCTGGACATGGTAAAGAAATGGTGAACCGGAGTACCGGCCCGAAACTGGCACTTGGAAATTGGAACTGATCTGGACAAGAACCGATTTAACCGGTTGAAGTTCCACTGTTCCAGTTCCACCATTACCATTTCCTTGTAAACACAACTATACAAGTACAGCAACCAATGAGCCAAATGCCTCCAGGGCGGTTCCAAAGGGGCCATAGCCCATAGGGGGTTAACTGCCCATCAAGTAATCAAACCCACCCGATACCTATATGTTATGCATGTAATTGTAATACATGCATGTGTGATGGAAAAAAGGATGACCCTATGAGAGCCTCTCAGAAATGGAAGGATGTAAATTGAATTTTGATTACACACCGTTCGAAAGAGGGTACGTTTCCAACACAAGCCTTTGATTGGAGTTGAACCTAAAATCTCTCTTGTGGCACCCCTCCTCTTACTAGGTGAGAGCTCCCACCTAGAAAGAGGAGGGGTGCCACATTGTTATGAGCATGACAATGCATGTATGAGTGATGTTATATTATCCAAAACTAGCACGATTGTTAATACATGTAATTTTGACATAGTGGTAACAATCTGGATTTTTATTCATCCTACATACTTTTACTACATAGTATATCTTAACCTTTAACGACCTGGGTGCTTGTACCCGTTTCAAATCCTTAAATTGATCTAAGAAGATCATAATTTTGTTTTGTGTTTGCCATTTTTGAATACCTAGAATGACTAAAAATTCAATTTAAACAATTGGTAAGTGTCTTGTTATAATAAAAAGTGGTATTCGCGTACAAATTGCTTTTGATCATTTGAGGTGCACTATTACATTCAGATGATTTTCTTCATCCACTTTTGATCATTTACGATACACTATTACACACAGGAAGTCCACATTTTGCAAAGAAGAAAAGCTTTAACTTATTTACAAAAATGCCGCCGCATTTTCGATTCACTTTAATGCATGTATTTTTCACATATTTAGAGCCACCAGACCTTATATCCAACACAACATATTTGTTCTTACTTTTCATGTGAATGAGACTTTTTATTTGACAAACATCATACACATGTGCGTTGCCACTTGAAATAATAATAATTATAAGCTTCATCTGTCTCTTATTTTAACTAGTTTTTTTATTAAAACAGTTTTTAATAAAATAGACATTATGTGTTTGAAATTTGTTTATAAGAAAATGAAATTACATCAAACCACGAAATATTTCCCTAAAAAGAAATGTGAAGATAATTTTTGGGATAAAATGTGGTTGAATGTTTGTATAACGGTCCAATAATATTATAGCGCGAGTTGGAAACCCTTACTTAAATTTTCTATAGAGCACATCTAGTAGGTCAAAACTCCCCCGTAATGATCCCACACCGATCAAGTATGAGATTGATCGGTGGCTTATAAGGTAGGTCATTAGGTGTCTCCTCCTCCTATTGGCAAGTCTTTGGGGAGTGAGTTCGACACCTCTTGGACCTATGGACTTTTTATGAGCCTAGTATGAACTAGGTCTGTAACAATCTGTATCATAAACATCCTCATCTTTCCTGTCCCAACACTCTTGGGCCCTGAGGCTGCCAACCGTGTCCAACATAGCCGTGACCAACAAGGACGTTGGCTCTTCGAAGCGTGTGGTATTGTTACAATCTCACACTAATCAAGTATGAGATTGATCGGTGATTTATAAACTTGGTGTCCCCTCCTCCAATTGGCTAGTCTTTTGGAAGTGAGTTCTACCTCTTAGCTCATTGCCTTTTTATGGGTATTGTATGGGCTACGTTTGTAACATCCTCCACATCACCACATGGTATTTTTAGCCTCAAGAAATGAAGAAACTAGGGATGGACCCGGGCCGGGCCCGATTCAATGTTTTTTTTTTTTTGGCTTTCTTGTTATCCCCGACCCCCACCCCCCTCACCCCCACCCCCCAAACCTCCCCAAAACACCTAGCCCTACCCTAGGAAAAGAAAAAAACTTGAAAAAACAAAAAAAAGCCCAGGCCCGACCTGAACTGCCCAGGCCGGTTCAACAAAAATGGGCCCGAGCCCGGCCCGCCCGACCCGCCAAAACGGGCTAAAAGCCCGGAACTGGCCAACCGGGCCCGCACAGTAGCGGGCTGGTCCGGTTCCAGGCCGGTTCGGCCCGGCCCAGTCCATCCCTAGAAGGAACCAAGAACAAACACAAGGGAGAGTACACCCAGAAAACACCAACTGACCAAAGGGCAAAAGGTTATGGAGTAACTTATAAGCATCATCCCAACTCCCAAGAGAACTCAACTGGGAAATGATATTCATCCTCCAAAAGGACCCAAGTTCAACTCCTTTCATCTTCCAACATGACCAGGTTATAGCAATGGAAAATAATGTCTTAAATTCAGTTTAACATACGAGTACTAGTTAGTTGAAATACGATGTATAGGGCAAAAAATGTATTAGGTCATTTTTTGGAATTAGCCATGTAAAGATGGTTAGCATTTGTAAGCAGATAGACAAGTAGCCAAGTAGGTCATGGATGGATTTTAAACACGGAAAATTCAAATAATTTAAGGTACAAGAATCAAACAATAAAACTTGTAAAATGAGACAATGGATTTTGAAAAGACAACTTTTCATATGTTCTGCAGGGTACACGTGTCATTTAATTTATAAGTGAGCTATATTAAGCTCAAGATTTTACAAGTGGAGTAATACTCATTCTTAGATGTCAAAGCATACAAGGTTGTCGAAGTCATTTTTTCCACTTTCCCTAGCATCTCCAAGGATCAAAACATACCCTCTGGAATTAATAGAGGTCTTCACCCTTTAATATAATAAAAACTGAAAAGAACTACACTAACCAAGAACCCCAATAAAGCACCAGCTATGACCTCAATCTCTGAGTGACCAATCGATTCTCTCAGCTCAGAATACTTCAATGGTTTTGAACCGTTTTCAGCACCAGAGGTAGCGAACACAGTGGCACTCTTTTTCAATGGTTCCAAAGGACTCAATTCTTTGTATAAGCAAGGCTCGAGAATCTGAACATTTGACGTTGAGTTTGCTTGCAAATGATCAGTCAAAGGAACATCGTTGGAGGAACTTTGATCTAGACAAGTCTCTAACAAAAGCCGGTTTAGTACTTTTCCATGGACTCCAACTTCCCTTCTAACACCCTACAATAGCACAAGCTGCAGTCTTTAATATCATACACAGAAGACTTATGAAAGACTATTTACATGAACATTACTCCTTGTCCTCAGTTTCTTAGGGTGCGATGAACCTCGAAAGTGCTAGCGGTTGGATGAAAATAGAGGGGAAGTTTAGAAGAAAAAAATATAAGTTGGGGGGGAAAGGTTCAGACTAAATCAATCGATCACAAATATTAGTTCGAATTCATTCTATTGATATAGTGCATAAAGACAAAGATAAAAATTACAATAAATAAACATATGTAGTCTAATGTAAAATTTATATATTTTATTCAAATTATATTTTCCTTCTAATTTCTGAAGTTACAACTGAAGATTAAAAAAAGTAAAAAAAAACTATTTTCTCAATTCCGTTTCCTGCTAATTTCAGCATTTCAAACATAGCCAGTGGCTAGAGTTTAGTTGAAATATTCAGTTCATATCAAACTAGATGATGTATTTCTGATGATAAAGTTAGACAACATTAGCACTCCGTCCAGCTCTGAGACATTCGGAGTGAACCAGAGAAACAAGATTAAAAACATATCAGACTAGAAACATCCAGACTGTGTGCATCAACACATTGAACAGCGAGAACTCTTTGGGTGGGAGGTCTTTCGATAGAGGTCTTGCGATAGAGAGATGTTCAAGATATTCAGACACGACTTCTTTGCTTTGATCCTCGACCAGGTTAGTTCAGTGCTCGTAAGAACTCTTTTTTGCATTTTTAAAACAATGCAATAAAGAAAAACCATATGAACAGTTCATAAAAGTTAATCTACTTTTCCAAAGATATTATAATTACTTTTAATATAAAGTGCAGTAATGAGGTCTTATCTGACTACATTTTAACGTGGTTGCAGACGATTAGCAAAGTGGAATCTGCTCAACACAAACCTGTGCATCGTACATGACAATGCCAGCATAAACAACTGCTAACCCAAATACTGCGTCAGAGAAACCCCTGAATTCACATCAGACTCCAATCACCAAACATAGGTACGCAAGTTGACACAACGAAATGAAATTTGAAACGCAATGCAGATATCTCTTTTAGTCTCATCTGCCAAAAATGTAAAGTCAGATTGTACCTGTCCAGTCCAATGGAGGTAGCTGTTGCAACAGCTGCCTGTCATTTGCAAATAGCTGATATTTAGTAAGGTAAAACTAAAACTAAAAATAATAGAAACAGAAACAACAGTAACAGAACAAAACAAATATAACCACTCAATGTGTTTGTGTCTGTTTTTCACCCCCTAAGAATGTTGCGAGGGTGACCTAGGGAAGAAAAGCTCAAATGTCTTACAGAGGAGTGCGTCGAAGGGAACCCTCCAGACTGAAAGGCTTGCCTGATATCAAAATCTTGGCCATGAAATATGGCTGATGTAAAAGGTTTAGAAAGTTGCCCAACTGCCGCAGATAAAGCAGCAGCTATCAAAACCTGAATGGTGCTCATAGCAAAGTAAACATTTCATCAAAATCGGTAAAGAAATACTCTGTATATACCATTTTCACGAGAATTTATTTTCATCTTCGGTTGAACTAAGGGCCTAATACATTTTCAGAAGGAAAAGGAACAATGAGTTCAGTCATCACACACTCACACCCAACTAAATATACAGAGCGTATATGACCTTAGACTACTCATCGATGCATAGGGGTGAGATGGGATGGGCTCTTTGGAAAAAGTTCAGGAACCATTTTAAAGATCCATTGATTTTATATGGGTTGGGTTCTAACATTTTTATGAAGAACCGACACAAGAACCATTAATTATATCAGTTAGTTCTTTTGAGTTATTGGTAAACCGTTAACACATAAAACCCAATAACAAGTTACCAACAAATAACTCTTAATAAAAAACTGTTAAATAGCAAAAAGTTATCAAGAAACAACTATTAAGAAGCAAAAAAAAATTACACAATAATGATCCGTTGAATTTAGTTATTGAGGTGTACATCTCGTGGGATTTAATGACAGTACACACATGATCTGTTATCATGTTTCTTAAAGGAAACGGGACCCAACAGTTGATAATGGCCAGAAACCCAACCATCAAGAATCTACCCATACACAGGAACCAAACCGAACCAGGTTACAAGGGTCCAGTTCGACTAGCTTCCCCAGTGGTTCCAAAATCCCAGCCCCAGCTATGCTTGTCCTCAATGATTGGGAATGTATTATTGACAACCGAATCCAAGAAGGGAATTAGGGAAAACACTAATGAAACAATACTTACTCAGTTACTCTGTTACTCATTGAAAAGGTGAAGAAACACTAGTAAATATATTAGCCCAGAGTAAATCCAGGTGAGAGTTTAGACACGAGCGCAAACACAAAGAAGAAGAGACATTAAGATTTCCACAAGTCCTTAACCCAAACCCGCCAAGAAACAATCTTGATAATGAAGCATTAATAATAATAAAAAGTATCGATTTTGATTGCCAATGTTTTTCTTTCTTTTTTACATAAGACTCAGACATTCAGACAATGAAAAGTAAGATAAAGAAAAGTTAACCTTGTTGTGGATGATATCTGTGATTCTATTAGCTCCATCTCCCAGACACGCTACTGTAAAGGAAGGGCCGCACGAAGAAGAAAAACCTCCGAATCGTCGGCTAGGCGCTATTGATTTTTTGGTGCCAAATGAAGCGGTATGGTTACGAGATAGTAAAGCAGCGGGAAAGCAGCAACCCAGGCTCAATATGGTCATTCAGGAAAACAATTCTTATTCACATACATGTATTTCCTTGTAGTAAATACCAAATACCTAGTAAATTCTTAAGATGCACATGAGCAGCAGCTTCTTGAGATCCTATGATTTGCCAACACAAAGACAGAATAAATGCCTAAAAATGAAACCTTTTTTAAAAAACGAACTTAACAAATACTCCCTCTTCCCGAAAAGGTGGAGCAGCCTTTCACGTGGATTAATAAAATAAAAATTGTGTGATTTAACTATATGTAGAGGAGAGAGAATTAATTTTAGTCACATATTACTTACTTTAAAAGGAATATATGAGTATGTCTAATATTTTTGGGACATCCATAAAAGGAAATTTGGTTAACTTTTTTGGTTGAGAGGGAGTATGTTAGAATGATTAAGAGCAGGCGGTCATGGACCGAATTATTTTGTATGCTCAAAAGGCTGGTAAAGGTTTAACCATATTAAGAGCCCGTTTGGTGACCCCTTTTTTCGGCTTATCAGGCTTATCAGCCAGTTTTTTCACCAAACACTTAACTTTTGATTTCGCGCGTTGAATTTTGTAATAAGCTGAAAAAGTAAGGTTAGAGTTACGTTTATGGCTGTATTGGCTGAAGTTACTGTAGAGGATCATTTTTGCTATTTTTTCATATAATTTTTTGTTTAATTTATTAATAACCAATATTTTAAACATAATTTTTTCATAAATCAGCAAAATCAGCTAATACAGCTACTTCAGCCAGAACATCATAAATTTCAGCAGAATCAGCCAATTCAGCCAATTTTAATGTTACCAAACGGACTCTAAGTTGAAGAAAGTGGTGAGTTGATTTCTCAATGAGACCAAGTAAAATTTTATTTAAACATCTCATGATTTTTTATTTAGATTTCTCAAAAGTACTCTTTGAACATCATCGTAAGTTTTGGACTTCTCATAGCACAATAGCATAAAAATAAATTTAGAGTTTTACAAATTAAAAGGAAGTATTACCAACTTCCTTATATAAACTAAGGGAATAAATGTTGGGTGTGTTCTTGGAAAACAAAGAAAATCAGTATTAATTAAAATTAATTAAAACAATCAAAGAAAACAAAAAGTGGTGGAACATAAATTAGCCAAAGCTTATGCAACGCACAATGTCCTTAAAACGTATTCATTGGCTCACACGGTGCTAGGAGCGTTGCAACGATCGTTTCCCAGGATACGATGGTTAACGAACGATCATTTGAGCACACAAACGATAGTTCTAGCGAACGGAAACAAGCAAGAACACTAAAGGAAAGTTTGCACAAAACTGGAGGCGATTTTAGCTCAAAACTACGTGCAAATTGTGTATGATTGCATGCGTTGTTGCAAAGCACCTTCCAGCTATTTATATAAAGGATATGTTGTGTGTTAATGGAGAGTTGATGGACATGAACGTTGGACATCAATGACCAAACCGTTGGGCAATGATTCGTCCATGAACTGTCCATTTAACACTGCAGAACGTTGGACATTTATTGCTTGTAACGTTTCAGAAGAGTCTTGGCCGGAGCCTTCTGATTTGGATCAGAAGCGTGATGATCAGAAGCCTTCTAGTCCAAGCAATCTGATGCGGAAAAAAAGCGTCACGGGAAAAAAAAGTTAAATCGTATCTTTAAAAGATAGATTTTCGGATGACATTTGTGTCCGCAAGTCACACCCGCACACGGAAGCCACGGTTTTTCTTCTCCGTTTTCAGAATTTGATCAGCACCCCCTACGTGCGAAGAGAGCATTTCCACCTAAGGATCTTAACTCCTTCAAAGAGGGTTCCCATTATAAGGGAGTGAAAATTCCTTGGGTTTTCCGGTGTGGGAAATAACACACTAGAAAGTAGAAACTCATCATTTTCCCAATTTTTTCATTTCAACGAGTGGATTTTGAGAATCAATTTCTCATTCGCCCGTTATCCGTTTTGAGTGTACCATATATCGAATTGTATCCCTTAACCAGAGGAATCCAAAACCACTTTGACCTGACCCAAATCGGAAGTGGACCTCACTCAAAATTGCTCCAAATTGACCATTTAATGCAAGTTTTAACACATTTTTTCAACAATAAATATTAACAATCACAACAGCTGAAATACTTGCTATCTTAAATCAGTATCAAAAGCCATTTTCAAATATGTTTGCCTTCTGCTTGGGTGTTTGACTGCATATCTTCATTACTTAAATAGTTAAATGAAAATGTCTGATCACAATAAGTCCAAAGATAATATGTATTCTATTTCTCAGTTTGATTTTACTAAACATTAAATTTCACGATCGTTTGATCTTAGCATATTTTATCATTAAGTTTAACATTTAGTGTGTGCTTCACTCGCAAGTTAAAGATTCATTATTAAAAAAAATGATTAACACAAAGTGGAGTGCAAACCATATATAACCTGCCAAATTAAGGATGATAAAGGCCCACTGCTCCATGTGTTAAACTAATGTTATAAGAATGTACTGTTTAACTAAGTTTTTAAAAAAAGATGAACTAGGACCCAATTTATAATTTATGCATGTTGGAATTTGAAAACTCAAGGGTTAACTTTAACGGAGGTAAGGATGATAAATATACGGAGTATTTAATTCTGAACCGTACAATAAATCAAACAAATTGTACAAGTGCATCTTAATTGCTTTATTGTTACACCAACATTTTATCATTCCTAAAATGTCTTAACGTGCTTATAAGTTTTTATATTGTATATATTTTATTAAGATATACAGAGCATTACCCTTCCGTGTCAGTTTATCCGTTTCATTTACTTTTTCATGTAGTTTAAGATAACTACTCTAGACTTTATAAAAAGTACAGAGTAATAGATTTCTGGTATTGTAGCGGTAGTGTAGCGGTACTGTAGGTGGGTTTTTTTCTGAAAAGGGAAATAAAACAATAAATTTGAGACGTCCCAAAAAAGAAAAGTGAGACACATAAACTGATACGGAGGGAGTACATAATAACTTTTATTAATTTTTGAATTCTCTTATGACTTTATAAAACTTTTAATAAGTTTTTTTAATATGTAAATTTTACTTCGTGTTTGTAAAAAAATAGTGACTATTGATAGTGATTAGCTAAAGAGCCAGTAAAAAACATCAATACTTCTTAAAATACCAAAGATTTAAAACTAACATGATTAACCTCAATTCAGAAATGAACCATGAGTTATTTCAATGTTATCAAGTACTCCGTATTTTTTAAAAGTGTATTACATTTCAAACTAGTACATTAGTGTTACACACGAAGCTTCAATATGGAGTGACCAGATTAGAGACTCAAAAAAACCACTCTAACCAATATTGAATATTTCAAGTGATTTGGTTGTACTCCCTCCATCCCGGAAAATTAGTCCCACTTTGACTTGGATCGGAGTTTAAGAAAGTGAGAATAAAGTGGAAATGTATGGTTGTGGTTGAGTAAGAAAAAGGTAAATGAATGTTAGCCACACAAAACTTTCCAAAAAGGGAAATGGGAACAATTTTTTGGGACGGCCCAAAAGGGAAAATGGGACTTATTTTATGGGACGGAGGGAGTATTGTTTTGTATAATATGTATTGGATTTCTTTTCATCCCAACAAAAAAACTAACCCTAACCCTATGAGTGTTTGGACTTGAAGGTGATGGATTGCAATATCAAGAAAGTGATAGTTCTCCCAAAGATTGTCATCTCAAATTTATCAATGACTTGAACTCTTTCAACATCCTCTCATTATTTTCAGTAATAATGAGATCATCAATGTAGAGACTAAAAACCATGAAGCCTTCTTGAGAGTCGACTTTAATTTGATGCGACGAATATGTTGAAATCATTGAAACAACTAGAGGTTGAACACCATGAAGCCTCCTAGAGAGTCCCCTTTGATGTAAAGAGTATGTTCATATGAACATTTACGAAATCCATAGTCCTCAAAGTAGAGTGGTCTCTTTGCTCTCTTTACTCTCCGTATTCCGCAAAACAATTTGATTTCTTCCCGACAAAAAACATGTCATATCTTGAAAGTGTATCACATCTCTTCTCCAAAAATGGCCGACACAGAGCAAATTATTCTTAAAACCATGAGCAAAGTATATACTTCAGAAATTCCATCTATTTTCCTTATTTTGTTTTGAACTCCCGCTCATCAACATCACAAACTTTGTATGATTTTGTATCTCGTATTTAACTTATCCATAATACCCTTGAACTAGTTTGATAAATACACTCATTAGCTATCATGTGTTTGCTGGCACTGTTGCTCAGGTACCAAACATCTTCTCGATCATATATCTTCTTGAGCCACAAGCAAACAAAGTGTATTGATTATGGTGTTCCTTGTTCATTTCTCCATATGCGAATTTGCTTCATGTTTTTCTTTCTCTTTATACCACATTCTCTTTCCAAATGGTCGGGTTTGTCATAGTGCTCGAATCTTAAGATTTCTTTTTTTTTCGGTTAAGGCCACCCGAAATATCTTGACCTCTTAAGATTTATCTATGGCTACCATAACGTAGTCAAATCTAGAGAGGAAGCGGTACAGCTAGCTAGTCGCCTACACTCTCCCATACGAGAGGTCTCAGGTTCGAAACTACATGGAGAGAGTTTCAGTCTTGTTTATCCCAAGTTCCCTCACCCCCTTGCGTAACAAAAAATGAAAAAACAAATTTAGAATTCAGAGAACAGTGGATCTTCTCAACCATACATAGTTTCATCATTTGTTTTTGGTCGATTAATTATGTGCAATACCCTCAAACAATAATCTGAAACTGGCATATGCTCTCTCTTATGCAGTTTCTCAAACTCCCCTCAAAGAGTTTGAAGCCAAAACATTTTCACCTTTTCATCTCCCTTGAATGAATTTTCAAAAACATGTCATGTTTACTTTATCGAAGTAGTCCGGGCGGAGCCCCATCCTTGTGCTTACTTGGGCCCAGGATCTAGATATCAGGGGACGCTCGTCTAGGCCCCTTGGCAGGAAGAAAATATATTGACGGGAAACACATTTAATGCAGTAGATTTGGTACTTGGGAAGTTAGCCACTCATGAACCTCCACATCATCACTACCATCTACCCCTTGGTAGTATAAATAGTAGAATTTATTTCATAGTTAGAGGTTGGCAACTTGTATTTTATAGCAATAG